GTGTGTGTGTGTGTGTGTGTGTGTGTGTGTGTGTGTGTGTGTGTGTGTGTGTGTTGGGGGGAAAGGGGGTAAAGGTGTCCTGGCACATTTTGATGTTTTTAGTTTTTCAAGCACATTTTTAAATGTTAAAAATACATTTCGACATATTTTAAATTTTAATCCAATCCAACTTTATCTGTAAAGCACTTTTTGCACCATAGTAGACCAAAGCGCTGTACAGAATCAGCACTGCAACACAGCTCATACAAAAACAAACTCAATCACAATTAAAATAGGAAAAAAAACAGACAAATAAAAGCAGGTAATAAAAGACAAAGTAAAAACAAGGAATAAAAACAATAAAATGCCTAAAACCTAATTTAAAATCTAAAATAAAAAATAAAATCTAGTATAAATGAACAACACAACCCCTCACACAGTGTCAAAAGCCAAACAAGTGGGTTTTAAGACGAGTTTTAAAAACAGCCAGTGAAGAGGACTGTCTAAGTTGGAGAGGTAGCTCGTTCCCGAGTTTAGGAGCTGCTGCAGCAAAAGCTCGATCCCCCTTGAGTTTGAGTCTGGTTTTAGGGACCCTCAGGAGCAGYTGATCAGCTGATCTGAGGGAGCGGGAGGGATTATAGGGGTGCAGCAGATCAGACAAGTATAGAGGGGCAAGGCCATTCAAAGATTTAAAAACAAATAAAAGTATTTTAAAATGGATCCTAAAGGTACAGGCAGCCAGTGGAGTGAAGCTAAAATGGGAGAAATGAGCTCATATATACGTGTGCCAGTTAAAATCCTCGCTGCAGCATGTTGGACCTTCTGCAGTCGAGCAATGGAGGACCCACTAACCCCCAGATAAAGTCCATTACAGTAATCCAGCCGGGTGGTGACAAAGGCATAGATAACTGTCTCAAAATATCTTCTTGGAATGATGGGTTTTATTTTGGCTAGCTGCCTGAAATGATAAAAACTCCTTCTAACAACTGACCTAATGTGGCTGTCTAATTTAAGTTAGGGGTCCATTTTAACTCCCAAATTCCTCACTAACAATTTGTTGTACTGAGTCAAGGAACCTAGATCTACAGGGGAGTGGCCWRCAGTACCTCCAAAAACCATAATCTCAGTCTTGGTTTCATTAAAACTCAAGAAAAATTGTGCCATCCAGGCCTTCAGATCCTCAAGACACATAAGAAGTGAGTCTATTGCATACGAATTAGACTTTTTTGAGAGGGACATTGATCTGGCTGTTGTCTGCGTAACAATGAAATAAAATACCGTGCTTTCTGAGAATAGAACCGAGTGGGAGGAGATACAGAGAAAACAAAAGTGCGCCCAAAATTTAGCCTTGAGGGACTCCACATGAAAGGGGAGAAGAAGAGGACACTGACCACTCAAGACTAACACAAAAAGTTTGGTTGGTTTAAATAATAGGCCATAAAATTTGTAAGAGTGTGTATGAGGCAGGTTACAAGAGAAGTGCCGACTAAGGCCAGTCTTAGGCTTTTCAAGAACACGAGACCAGATAACTGTCAATAACGATAAAAGAGTTCCTTGTATCAGCACAACTGGACTGATCCTGGATATGAACAATGAAACCATCTGACTGAAGGAGGAAGTGATTTTCATGTTTTATAGTGAGATGATACTGCTGTGTACCATTTCCTCGAGCCTCTAACAAACCCAGTCCTCTGACTGACCTGTAGATAATTAACTGATTGGCTTCTTTGGCTGTTGTTGTGCCATGTACTTTCACATCTTTTTGTTGGCCTTGTCTCAACAGTTTTTAAAATGCATTACAGCCATTCAATTCAAAATTATTGTTGGCAGTTCAAAGCTTGGACCTTCACACATATTCACTTGCAGAATAAATAGACTTTTTACTATTACAGAATATAATTTTATAGGGGTGTCCCGATACCAGTTTTTTCAAGACTGAGTACAAGTACGAGTACTTCAGTTTAGGTACACCTCTATAATTTTATATTGTCCTTGTTCTGGGTGACTGAGAATCTGCMAACATATGATGCTAATGTTAGTGTGGGACTGGATTGATGGGATCAATATTTGAGTTTGTTCCTCCTTTTCCAGTAATGGATTTATATGCCAGTGCATGTTGGAAGCAGCAACAACAGATGTTAACAATGGAGCATTTAGAATGGATGTGCACATGGTAACATGTGCAGCATCTGTTTATGTGTGATGCCATGTTTTATACTGCATATTTGGGTCATTCCAGGGGCATAGACTGTTCACACTGGTGTCTGATGATGGTTGCATTTAAATTTATTTGAACAAACATGGACAAAAATAAAAAACTGATTTCTGGAAAAGCTTTAAACAGAGAATTAAGACTTGCAATGAGAACAAAGCATTAGTGTGATGGAAGAATATCTTCTGACTCCCTAACTGCACATTACCTTGACATGTCCTGTTCTGTATCTCTTGATAACTTGCCTTTATATAATCTGTTTCTCATTATTCTTAAGATACTGTATGTACTCATGTAATCTTATGGCCCATTTACTTGTAACTATGTCATTGGTTCCTGGATATCTCTGACGCTCTTATTTTGTTAGCAGGATGTATATATTGTCTTTTTCCTGTTTCCGGGTCAGTGTGAGCTTGACAGACAGTTTGATTCACATACCATCTTTCTATTAAATAATCCGAAACAGAGACCACACAGTCTCCACTTTGTTTATCTCCTGCATCTCTGCCCTGGCGAAACGATGCCACGACAGATGGCATTGTCAGTAAAGGACTCTTTCCGACGGCAGGCTAGCCCCATTCCAGGGCCGAAAAACATTTTTTACTGTTTTTTCCCCCCTCAAAACTGTTTGGGGGCTTTCTTTTGGAACGTGGACGGGTGAAATGCCCTGTCGGAGGAGGAGAAAAACGAATCTAAATTTTTGGAAAATGTGAAATTTAAGACATTTGTTTGTATCTCAATGCTAAGCTAAAACTGTGCTAAATATTGCTACCAGGCCTCGCTAGCCTGGAACACTTGAGTTTCTATGGGGAAAATGCTAAGCTAACTTGATTCGGCTTGTGGTAGCATGGTCTGAGATGCACGGATGTCTGTTTTCTTCTCACCTTCTGTTTGGTTATTAGCCTTGTCGAGGGTAGATTAAGGATATGTTATTCTTAGCTGAGGTAGAATGGATTGGTGTGCAGTTTTCCATTCGAGGTAGGGACAATAATTAGGTTTGTTTTGTCCCGAGTTTTAGGTAAGTGATTACTGTTGTAGGCAGCTGACTGCCGAGTTTTTGAACTAACACTATTTTGGTATAGTAGACAGGCTAACTTGTTAGCCTCGTCGAATGTAGGTTAGGAATTGTTATTCTTAACTGAGGTAGAATGGATTGGTGTGCAGTTGTCCATTCGAGGTAGGGACAATAATTAGTGTTTGTTTTGTCCCGAGTTTAGGTAATTCATTACCTAATAGGCAGGTGACTGCCGAGTTTTAAACCAATTGTGTTTTTGGTATACAGTGGACAGGTTAACTTACAAACCAGCCGAGGTTCTAAGGACGCGTCCGCCCATACTGTTGTAAATATGGGTTCATCTTAGGTAGGCTGTGTGTGGTTGTGTATTTTGGTTACCAGCAGAGCATGAGGAGAGCAACGCATGCGTGTGTGTGTGTGTGTGTGTGTGTGTGTGTGTGTGTGTGTGT